AAATTCAATTTTCAGATTTACATATCAGTGGAATGTATGACATCATGCAGGAAAAGTGCTAACCTACCACCCACACACCCCGAAAAAAAAGCAGGTGCAACTTGAAGACAAGTTTGTCATTAACTTTCTTATATCATTTGATGTACAATGTACTCTAGGTATTCACATTAATATTTTTGTTTTAAATATTTGTTTTTAAGTGATATTTTCTATCAGTTAATCGATGATATAATAATTAAGTGTAAATGTTTTAACTGTACACCTCCCATAGATTTGGAGCTATTTTAAAATAATTCATCGGGCATGTTGACCTTGAATTTGACGAAACGTTAAGAATCAGAAAGCACTAATTTTATCTTAAACATCAAACTTATCTTGATACATATAAAATCAGGGGCGTAGCCAGGGAACTTTTGATGTGGACGCCTGGATAGGCCAGGGGTTAGGGGGCCGCCTTAAGGGCGGAGTCCTGGTGAAGGCCCAGGGGGCGAAGCCCCCTAAAACTGGTGAATTTTCGACGATTTAGATGTGCATATTTGACCCTTCTGATAGCATTTTTCAAACACTTTTTCAGTTTTTTACACAGCCACATTTGAGGTCTTTTTTTCGTGAGCAAAATGCTGACAAACACTCAAACATGAGAAAGGATATATCCAATAGCGTTTTTTCTTTTGACGAACCCATGCCACTAAAACAATTTTAGAATTTTGAAGCTCGACAAATTTAAGTACGTATGGTAACGTACGGTAGACGGTTAGAGATGTTGACTGCATGGTTTAGACAGACCGCGTAATTGACTGATAATCAGTCTGGCATTAAAATTAAAAATACATCTCAAAAGATTGAAAATAACAAAGACAGAAGAATTCTTTTCAACCCCATTTTCTTGCACTTTACCTATGTATATTGTTATGTATACATTTTAAAATGAATGTTCATAAAAATTCACAAATCGGGAATCTTTATATTTTTGCAATAATTATAAAAACATTCCAAATTGTAAAATATACTATTAGTTTTAAGGTGGTGTTACGAAAGTCAATACTTGAACAGGACTTAAAATATTATATTTTTTAGGTACTGAATTTATACCAATTTTTCGATTTTTGATGTTCGTATAAAACTGAATAATTTATTATGATTTTTGAAGGCTCGCAAGAATCCGATATTAGGTTAAAATTTGGGGGGAATATCGTAACAGAAGTTAAAAGCTTTACAGTTGGAAGTTAATTTTAAAATATAGAAATTGAAATTCTTGGCATTAAATAAAATTATTGTTTGTTGTAAGGGAGCCGACTGGAGTTTTATAGTATGAAATCTACAATAGAGAAACTCTTTAAGAATGTAATTACACTTGGAAAAAACTCAGCATAATTCGATAGTAAACAAAAATCAGGGGAAATCTTTTCATTTCAGGTATACTATCGTTTTTCCCCTAAAACTGATTCTGTTGATTTTAAATTATTATTTTTATCGTTAATTCTAACTTGTGTCTATTTTTTTTTTATAAATTATTTACTAGTATTATGCAAAAATGATGAGAACGCTTTACAATATTTTCTCTTTCTTCGTGTGTTCTTTCTTTTCTTTCTCTTTTCTTTCTTTCATTTTTCTTTCTATCTTTTTTTGAAAAATGATGTGGACGTCTGTGCGTACAAACGTACGCCAAGCTACGCGCCTGAAAATATTTTGTATAAAATTCTATTTTATTTTGAGCATATTGAAAAATTAAACGAATAAAGGAAATAAATCTTTTTGTTAATTTATGTTTGAACATAAATCAAATTCTTACCTGTTATTGAATGCTTCATATTTGGATAAAAACATCGAAGAGGTGCTCTCTTTAAATCTACCGCCGGAAAACATGGCATTGAATATTGGAAAATGCTGGGAAAGGACAGCTTTATTAACATGAATTTTCTCATCTTCTACAACTAGAGTTACATCTGTTTCTGGAAAACCAATATTGCCAAAATCGCCCACATTTTTTCCACGTGACGGCATTTCGTATGAGAAGGATATGGAGATAACGAACAGTATTCAATCTCAACGTCCATTAAACAATATACAAAATAAGAGCAGAGCAAACACGGACCTCCGAAACATCAGAGGTGGGATCAGGTGCCATGGAGGAGTGAGCATTCCCTGCCGACCGGTCACACCCGCCGTGTGCTCGTTGTCATGATCAGGAAAAAACGGAAAAAATCCGTCGTCAATTCAGTGTATAAATAATGGACTAACAATTGGTATGAAAAACGTCATTCAGCATTTGACTCAATGATAAATTGTATTTGCTGACAAGGTCATTGTATCGACCATAGAATTTACGAAATGATGACTTTAAACGAGACTGTTGATATTCTTGTTTCATCAACTTGCTTGTCAATGATTTACCTCGTTTAAGAAATTGTTCATACGTAGAACACGCTCTTGCGTATCGAATCAACTAAGAAATGTATACTCCGTATGCAGGCGATGAAGGTATATTGCTGCATAAGTAAGGGAAGTTGACGATAGAAAAGTTAAAGTCATCACGTTTATCATATAGCTTGGTTGTTAGATTACCATAAGTGTCTTTTTCAAGTAAAATATCCAAGTATGAAGCAGAAGTGTCGGACTCTGTGGTATCTTTTATCTCAAGCTCACCAGGATATATCGTATCGACGTAGGAATAAAAATTATCATTATTAATTGACAATACGTCGTCGATATATCTAAATGTCGAGTTGAAGGCCAGAGCAAGTGTTTTCTTCTTTTCACGCATAAGATTTTGCATAAATTCTGCTTCATATGAATATAAAAATAAGTCTGCTAATAACGGAGCGCAATTTGTACCCATGGGAATTCCAATAGATTGTTGGAATACCTTTTCTCCAAAAACCCACATAGATATTGTCAATCAGAAACTCAAGCATCTTCTTGATGTCAACCTCAGAGTACTAATGTGTGCAATCAGAATCTATTTTAACGAAATAATTTTGCAAATGACCAATGACGAGGTAAGTTAATTTACGAGTTCCATTTTTGTTGAAGAAGCAGCTGTCAATGATATAAAAAAAAAACCTGGATTTTAATTTGTTGTGGGGAATTGTTGTGTATAAAGTTGAAAAGTCGTAAGTTTTTAAGCTGTTGATTTTTGTAAAGTCTTGTGATTTCAAATTGTCCAAAGTTCTTTAGAATTTATAAATACTAGTACTATACGTATCTAAAAAATAAAATTAATTAGTTTTTAACGTAAAATGATAAAAATGTTTCCGTTGTTGCTTTTTCTTAAGATTTCATGCCTGTTCAAGTCTATTCAGTTAGCTAGCTTATGAAAACTTTCCTTTTAGATTAATTAAAGCGCTTGTACATGTATATGTGCATCCTAGCGATTTGAAGATCATCATGTACAAAATTGATTCGTAGAATTTCTTTGTATTTGTTAAAAACAATTAATGGACATATATACGTTCAGATCGACTTAGAAAGGCTGTATTTCTGTTCTAAAGAAAGCTTCGGTATCCTCTCTCAGCTCACTTTCTTGATATTCCTTATGCAGGTAACAAAAGTATATTGCTTCATATGAAAGGGAAGATGAGGATTGAAAAGTTAAATTCATCGCTTATCCTTAGTATGGAAGTTATGGAAGGACATCAACTTACTTGTTATGACTTATCTGTTGTGACTTATTTATTATGAAGTTTTTGTTGCTAGTGATAACTAAGTGTAAAGTAAATATGGAAAATATAGAAGCATGACATAGATTTATAATTAAATGAAACATTTATTTCTTAGTAAACTATTTCTTGCTGAATTGTAGTAAACAAACTTGCCTGTATCATATATCCTAGGGAAAAATGATTATATTGTTATTTGTGCTATGAGCTATCTTATTTTTTTTTTATCACATGTTAATTTTACCCCAAAAGTGATGTGAGAGATGGAGGCTACTTGAAGTTTCAGAAAAGAAAAAAAAAATCAAATTTTGTATTTGACTTACAATAAGATAAAATATAAGTTATATTCATGTGTTCAAACATTATGCAAAATTGAAGTTACAAATGAAGATTAAGTAACAACTATTAAGTAACAATAAATAATATTTAGCAAATGACAATTAAGGTCATACGCAACGTAGTTTGAACTTTATTGGGTTGAAGAGTTCCACTAAAAGAAGGACGTGTGTTCAATACTTTTTATGTCTATATATGGATTTCTACACTTCTTCTAAAACAAAATTTGATTGAGAAAAATCTGGAAATTATGTTTTGTAATTTCTGTTTATTTTCCTTCAAATAATGCAAACAACATTTATTCATAATAATTAAGTCACAGCAAACAAGTTATTACAAATAAATCATAACAAGTAAGTCAATTTCCCTCCAGGGCTTATGTATCATAAAGCCTGGTTGTTAAGATTACCATTAACGCTGTTTTCTAATAAAATGCCTAATTTACTAAACAGATGTGAGGACTCTGTGGTATCTTTATTTCAAACTCACCAGGATATATCGTGTTTACATAAGAATGGAAATAGTATAATCGATCTAACAAATTATGTACTGTAACATGAAATTAAAAAAAAAGACATTATTTCAAAGTCAAAATGACACTGATATCTTTGTGCTCTACATGTACAGGATGTCCGAAAACATATGTTACACTTTTAATCATCTATAGCTTTATCAAATAAAAGCATCCACAAAGATTGAACGTGTTTATGAAAGTAGTGTATATTTACATGCTAGCGCTTAATAAAATATGGCTACGTGACAAATCTGTGTGATTCACACACTGGTCAATAACTCACACAAAACTTAAAAACATTACTTAAGTAAACCTCAATTTACTTTAAAATAGGTTAATATTCTTTCATCTTTTACTCTTAACGAGAAATACCGGTATGTAAAAGTTCAACAGTTACAAAGCTCTTCTATAAATTTCATGTAACAAATAAATTGATACATTTTGATTAAATAAATATAAAACATAAAAATCTAAAAACAGATAATTCCGACATGGTTTTGCGTAAGTTATGATAAATTTATGTTGTGATCTGCTTGAACAAGATTTATATTATCGCGTTTCATTCTATTATTCATCTCTAGAACTTGAAGTCTTTTTTCTGCTATTGCATGCTGGGTTTTTAGATCTAATTCCATAAACTTTGAAGAGATTTCTTCCATCTCCTGTGCGTCATAAAAAAGGTCTGCTGAATTGACTGTGTTATTTTGTTGACCTAATGTAAAATTTGCACTGGTCGGGGCACCAAACAAAGTCTTTCTCCTGGAAAATGTCTTTCCGTTCAGAAGATCAAAATCAATGTAGGCACAAAATTTCACTGCCGAATCTAGAAATTTCCGCAGATCATATTTTTCGGCTGCTATGATGTAATCCAAAAGTGACGTCACTGTCAGACTTGTTTTTGGTTTACACATGCTAATCATAAATTCCTCACAATCAGCGACAACGGGAGACTGGTACTCATGTGCCAATGGTAATATCTGTAATACATTGCGTTCTGAAAGGTAAGAAAAATATTAATTTCAATGAAAAAAGGGTCAACAATTTAAAGAATGACTGCGCTCTAGGATATGCGATACATGTATTTGCGCCGAAATAAACTTTCAAAACAAACATTTTTTTTAATTGTAGGAATTATTAACAGGTAATCAATTCAACAACTTCACTTAATTACAATAAATAAAAGTATGCATTCACGATGTACGATTCTGTTTTCTAAGATGGGGCCATCACAATGTCTTTATCTCCGTATGATAATGAGGACGTGCTCTTTTTTAGAGACTTTATACTTATTCATATGTTTGTCTGTTGTTTTTCTTTTAACACTAGTTGTATATTTGCATTATTAATGTAATGTTCAAAGGAGATTCATACATGTAGACAAACATGCGCTCATGGTTTAAAAAGAGAAAAACTGCTTCTTCGTACACACACACACTCTCTCTCTCTCTCTCTCTCTCTCTCTCTTTCTCTCTCTTTCTCTCTCTCTCTCTCTCTCTCTCTCTCTCTCTCTCTCTCTCTCTCTGTTGTAGCCAAGGGCTGTGACACGTTGAATATTACAATTCACTTTGTGATATCTTTCTTCGGATAATTTTGTGAAGTCTAAATTTCCTCACGTACATGACTTATAGGTAGCATGTTTTGGGCTAACGAAGACATTGTGTTCGAACACGTTAAAAAGTAAGTCATTGATCTGAAATAAACTTTACTTAAACGGATGGGTTCATACGTTTAAAACCTTTGTAAATACATGATATACTTTTGTGCCATACAGAATAAAATGGAAGATTGAAAATAGAGATCTCGTATATTTTAATACATGTCATTGTTATTGATGAAACGTATGGAGATAATGAACAGTATTCAAGATCAAACGACCAAGATCATAGGAGCTCGTACCCAATGGGTCATAATTTGGATTAGTTACAAGAGGTGCAAGGGCCTTGAATTGCTCTTCTGATAAATTATACAATCTATCACTTCTATTAGAAGCCTCCAATTCTATTAGTATCATAAGACCCAAAATGCATCAGCTGACAAGTTTGATGATATTTAGCCAGTTAAGACTGAATATATAATAATATAATTATATATAATAATAATATAATAATACATAATACATAATAATATAATTATAAAATACCATAAGAAGGTCACAGAGACCCACCTTTTGATTGAAATTTTCTGATAACTCAAGATACATTAATTGACAAAGTTTGCTGATTCTAAGCCAATAAGTACCTAAGATATTCAAAAGTAGGTAACCGTGACCTACGTCTTGGTCGACATTCTCCGATACCATGACATGCTTCAACTGACAAATTCTGATGATTCTGAGCCAATAAAAACCAGATATGATTAAATATAGCCAACAAATGTCAAAAGTAGGTCACAGTGACCTACTTTTTAGTCGACGTTCTCCAAAACCCCAAGATGCTTAAACTGACAAGGTTTAACGATTCTAAGCTAATAATTACCTAAGATATTCAAAAGTAGGTCACCATAACATACCGGTACTTCTTGGTCGACATTCTCTGATACCTTAAGGGTCCTCCACACACCCACAGGTTATGCTCTCATATTATTGAGCATTACTTTTAACGAGCATATCAACCTTTAAAACCTGTCCAGATATTAAAATGTAATTTATACTGATTTTTTAAAATAATTATTTCACAAGTTATAAGAAATTTTTTCCCGAGCATTTTCATTCCTAGCACAACAAACTTTGTCTTATCCTTTCGTATATTTTTAAGCTCACAGAATAACCATAAAAATTTATTTTTATCCATCAACATATTTTTTACAGAAATTTATTTTATTTATAAAAAGTACACAAAACTCATTTTCTCTGAAATACATTTCGAGAAAAATCAATAAGGACTCCTTTTGTGGAGAAGAAACATTAATAAATTAGATAACATCAAAAAATTGAATTAAAATTAAATGCACTGATGTATAAAAAACATTTTCAAAATCGTTGGTATCAGTTCCTTTTTGGAGTTATCTTTCCTGTTGCCCGGGACTCAAAAACTTTGGCAAGTCTCCGCCTACGTCACCATACTATATTTAGTAATTACTGGCCACTGAACTGGACAAATATAACAGAGGAAAACTAGAAACACACATTATTTTATTAATATTTATAAACAAAAATGAGATAATGTATTATTGAAACGCACAAATTAGTGTGCCGAAATTTCAACTATCAAAATAGACTCGGTTGATTAGCCTGAAAGGATAAAAACTCTCGACGAATAATCGAGTACTCGACTATCGTTCGATCATACCGACTATCGACTAGAATTTATTTAGTCGGTTATTCGTTAAGAATGTGATTCATCCAAGTAATTTTGAATTCAAGGCAATAAATTTATATTTGCCCATTTCATTTATTTACAGATCAATGTTTTCATATGTAAAATTAAGGGTATAGTTTAACTGTTCAAGGGAAATTATTTGTACGTCGATGTATGTTCGGCAAACATGTCAATTCAGGAAGAATTATATTAATTATTGGTAAATACCTATTACAAAATCGTAAATACATATAAATCGAGGTCAGTTTATATGAGAGTAATTCAACTGTGTTTTCTTTTTCTGATATTAATTTCATACAATCATTGATTGTTTGCACAAAATTTCATAATTTAAATTTACCCCAAGCTCTCGCTCTCTCTTTGTTTTTATGAGACGCACTTTTATTGTTTATCTGGCAAAGATCATTGACGGACATGTAATAATTGGCTTCAATTATGGGGTATATGTACTACCGTTATGTAAAGAAAGGACAAATACGGGCGTTTGATACCCTGCATTTAGATAAAACGTACATGTAATATATTAATTTTGAAATTAAATATATTGGATACATATTGATGTACAGTTACTTTTTATTGCACTACGCACATGTTTACAATTCAGAAATTTGTTGTACAAGTATAATGGTGATAGTGTAGGTTAAATATTGTAAACTAGTCTGTAAAAGACAAACGGTGAAACTGAATAATTAAATTAAACGAATATTCGACTATCGTTCGACTAAAACATCCGACTATTCGACTAAGATGTCCGAGTAAAATTGACATCCCTAATAAATACCCTAAACGTTTTTCGTCATTTCCACCGATACCTGTTGTTTACGAATTATTATGTAACATAATCCAAGACGTCTGTTGTTCTTTTATTTAACAAAAACCACAAATACTTTTCCATCGGTTACTACGTGATCATGCCATGTGTGCATTGTTTACAAACGGTGTTAGTTTTAATCGTTCTAACAGAAACTCGATCGAACCGGAAGTAAAAGTATTTTTTCTCTATATACGTCACAAGTCACATGGTGTGGAGGACCCTTAAGATGATTCAACTGACAAAATTTGATGATTCTGAGCCAGTAAAACCAGATATAATTAATTATAGCCATATAATGTCAAAAGTAGGTCACTGTGACCTACTTTTTGGTTGATGTTCTCCAAAAACCCTAGATGTCTAAATTGGCAAAATTGAATGATTCTAAGCTAAAAAGTACCTGAGATATTCAAAAGTAGGTCACTGCAACCTACGTTTTGATCGACATTCTCCGAAAACCAAACATGCCTCAACTGCCTAAGTTTGATTATTCTAAGCCAATACGTTCCCGAGATACTTAAATATAGCTAAATGTCGAAAGTACGTTACCGTGACCTACTTTTTGGTTGACAATCTCCAAAAACCAAGGAAGCATCAAATGACAAAGTTTGATGATTTTAGGTCAATAAGTACCCGAGATACTAAAACATAGCCACAAAACTGCAAAAGTATGTTTTAAGGTCACAAGATGCATCAACTTCAAGATTTGATGATTCTAAACCTCTCAGTGTCTCAAATAATGGGATTCAATGTTTTAAAAAGGATTAGTCATAAAGTTCAAAAAGTAGGTCATGGTGACCTACTTTTAAGTTTACGTTGTTTGAAGGCCCAAGATGCATCATCTGACAAAGTTTGATGATCATAGGCCTTAAAGTGTCCAAAATATGCCTTCAAATCAATTTGAAAGCAAATGCCCGCAAAATTTAAAAAGTAAGTCACCGTGACCTACTTTTGGGTTAACATGATGTGAAGTCCTAAGATGCACAAACTTACAAGATTTGATGATCCTAGTTCTCATAGTAAGCAAAATATAAACGTTTTTATACATTGTAAATTTAAGTCAACCTTGAAGTGACTTTTGACCACGCCCTTTGCCCCAGGGTAATTCCCCGTGCAAATTTTAAGGATTTCAATCCCTAATGGTACCAAATTCTGTACCCTTAAATGTCCATCAAGTACACAATACTTTGATATTTTATTAAAACATTTTATAGTACAAAGGATTGCCCACGAGAATTTTTCAAAAAATTCATTAATTAAGCAGTAGTCAATTAACAAAGATTGCATTGAAGTCTATGGGGAAAAGCGGTTTTTTTTCAAAATAATATTCAAATGATTTGAATATCAATAAATCCTGTGGTGGAAAGATGCATTGAAATATTATTAATAAAATGATAATTGAAAACAATTTTTTAACCAGCTAATTTTTTTAATTGATTTTTTTAATTAATTAAAAAAGGAGAGATAACTCTTACAAAAATTCAAGCTCATGAATTAGGATACATCCCACTAAACACACCTATAGTAATAAATGGGAAGTATGTCTAAATAAACTGAGTATTCAATGCCTACATATCTGTTATGTCTTCAATTTCATTGAATTTCTTCTTTTTAGGGATTGAAGACCTTAATTTTCGACATATCCTGATTCTTGTGTGTACGTTTGGTGAAAATCTGCCCGGTGGTTCTGGAGAAAAAGATTTTTTAGCAACCAGTACTTTTTGTTTTGTTTTAAATTCCTGATTATATCTCCTTTTTTAAGGGTCCCAACCCTTATTTTAGTATAATTGGTAGCCCTTAGGCCAAGGATACCCTGTGACAAATTTGACACTGATTGGCCAAGGGGTTCTTGAGTTATGGCCCATA